CTTCTATATGATGGGAAGCACGGGTGGCGTAGCTGTAAGCTCGCTCACCTCTAACCAATGCGACCCAGGGTTGAGCCCCTGTCTTGATGTCGTGTGTGAGTCATTCGTTGGTTCTCTCCTGTGCTTCGAAGGTTTTTCTCGGGGTTTCCTTTCTCCACAAAAATCAACTTCCAAATTCTAATTCGATGTAAAGGTTGCCTTGTTGTTGGGTCCTAGACATGTAAGGGTTTTACGAATATCCTTTTTTATTCCATGTGTTGTGTTTTCATTTACAGCATAGCTGTTCTCCTAACTTGTTCGTCCAGAATGTGTTTATCGACACCCACGACTTACGGTTCCCTCGTGTTGCTTTCTTTGCTCAGCAGTAAGTATTCCAGTATTCCATCTTATATTATGACGTCATTGGTTCTTGATTGGCTAACAATCTCGTGGTTATTTTTAGTAACATTTCTGCTGGTTCCGAGTTAACATGGGATTACATGTACGAAGTTGGCAGCGTCCAAGATAAAGTCCTTCGCTGTTACTGCGGATCTTCTCAATGTCGTGGAAGATTATTATGATCTCATCTTTACACTACCCTCCCACAGACTTGACCAATCCCTGCCCCACCGTCCCCTCCCTAGTAAAGTCAATTCACTGTTCTTTGGAGTACAGTATATACATATACCTCGAATTCCTGGTAAAACGTAAAACGATGTATCTATACGTACTTGGTATTGGAATAAACATATTTTGTTAATGTTTTTGTTTGCTTGGGAATGATTTGTGTTCAGTAACCCGACAAAGAGTCTCAGAAGTATTCCATACAACAATTAGTCATTCTGGGTCGAGGTGCCTGTCATTGCAGTGCATTGTGGGGCTGTTTAGGGGACATTTAATTCCAAGATGGCGTCTATCTCTTCCTGTAAAACATTCTGAAAATTAACGAAAATGCACTGCATAGCCCACTCAACACAGTTTTCTCCACAATCTCTGAATGACTAATACGTAACTTAGTATTCTCACTGCATACATAATTGGCGTGTCACGTAGGAATTTAGCAACCCCCCATATATGGACATTGGAGTTTGCGCAGTGCAGGTGTAATGCTTTGCGACCCCTGCATATATAAGCACCACACCCAGATCCTTGAATCATTCCGTCGAAAGCTGCCAAAGGAGAGCCTTGTAGAAGATTCACTCATCCAACCGTCACCAGCTAACATGGCTAACATCCCTACTCTTCCTGGCCCAATGCCCACCATCCCAGCACCAGTCGCTCCAGCTTTAGCAGCACCGGCAGTATTTGCACCAGCCGCTGCTCAAGAACCAGCAGTTGAAGTAGGAAACGCACCAAATGAGGTATAAATGAGGTTGGGAGCCGGGGTTCGTACGTCGTTGCGGATTAGTAGTGTTCTTTGTTTACTGTCCCCCTAGTTTAATGGCTATCTCCTAAGTTAGCAGTTTCGCAGTTGCCCTGGTTGAACTCGTCTTTATGCTGTATAAGTCTAGGTTAGTTTGGTGTCACGGCTTTGATCGCTCTATTTTATATTCTCGTTTAGCTCGTTACACGTCAGTTATTTTTGTATATATTAT